AAGTATAGCATTTAATTCCATTCAGAATGAAATGTTGTTTAAAAATATGTTGTTTTCATATACATAGGACTCTGAAGTGTTGTAGAAAAAGATAATATATACATTTATATGTATATTTACGACGTAATTACAAAATATTTACATCCGATCGCGTCAAAACCCACTGAACTTAATGGTAAATGACTCAATGTTTTGGTCACCACGTAGGGATCGCCGGTGCTTCAGAGCAGGGTACGGGAGAAACCTGTTTAGGGCTACTCTATCTTACTTCCTACCTCCATGAGAAAAACGAAGGGGAGAAGGAGAGTGTTTACGTAAACACAGACTTGTCGTCTGCTGAACGCCTACGCAAAGAGCAAGCTAACTGTCCCTCGTTGAGAGAAGCATGGAAGCTAGCTGTAGGAAGAAAAGGAAATTATTTATTTATTGATCATCTGTTACGTCACCAAGAAAAATATTAGGACAGACTGTTTTTCAGTTAGTGCTTCCGCTTAGTAGAAGAGCACAAGTGTTGGAATTAGCACATAGTTCCATTTTCGGTGCACATCTTGGAATAGGAAAAACAGAGGAGCGAATACGATATTCATCTTTTTTGGCCTGGATTAGCATAAGATGTCGAAACCTTTCGTAAAACATGCAAACATTGTCAGTTGAAAAGTCCAGAAAAGCGATCTGACAAGATTTCCATCACACCGGTTAGAAGGCCAGGATTACCTTTCGAAGCAGTTAACATCGTTATTGCATAAGACGTTATTGGACCTAAAGTTTATTTACTCATCCCAGATTCAAATAACAAACTCTATGCACGATGGATTGGACCAGGAGAAATCGTAAATCATTGCCCACCGCATTCCTATAAAGTAAAACAACCTGATGGGAAGATCAAACACGTTCATGCAAATAAAATTCGAAAATTACAAGCTAGCGTCAGTGCAGTTGGAGTGATATTTGAATATGAAGAAAAATTTGGAGAAATTATAACTTTGCCAGGAAAAAAACTGTCCAACGCAGATGCATTATCCCCACCTGTGAACTTTGAACATTAATTTATTGTTCATCTTCACGAACATTTTGTATAGTTAACGATTAGATAGTTTTTCTTTGCTTTTCTTAATAATTTTACAATTATGTGCAAATAAGATGTTTATGTAATTTGAAATACAGTCAAAAGTCGTTAATTCCGACACCCATAATCCGGAATGATCTATAATCCGGACCTCAAAGCTACAAATTTTCTGCGCGGCTGCAAATATGCGTGTGCGCATGCGCAAAATACGTTTACGCATGCGCGTTTAATGCATAACGGACGGTATAAGCTAAGCTAAAATCATCTACTTCAGTTAACGTTGCAGATTGCGTTGTTCCTTAATCTTCGAATTGGATCCGGCTTGTTATTTATTTGCAGACTGTTAGAGCAATTTTATAAAAGTAAGCTTGAACTTTCGATTATGTCAAATAGAATTTGCGATATATATTTACTAATATGTAAAGGATCTACAAAGCGAAAGTATGTTATGTCAAAAGTCGTTAATCCGGACTCGTCGGTACTTCGGCGATTCCGGATTATATATCATCAGTTTAAATCTCGTAAAATGTCCATTAAACAAATGTGGAATTGCTGTAAAAAATGACCTAACCATTCCTAAATCTGTTTATCAATTTCACGCTGCTCTGCGGCGGGGGGGGGGGACGCCGCGGCGCACAATGAATTGGAAGTTGATCTGTCAGCACTATCCTTATCTTCAGGGCAGATGTTTTCATTTTATTTGGCTTATAATTCCTTACTAAATGTAGTACTTCATTTAACCTTTCGTTTTCAATACATCGAGAGGTTATTGAAAACGAAAAAATTTCGATTCACAAATTAGTCGATATTCTCGACACAGCAATTATAGGACTTGAACAGCGAAACTTTGTAACTGAACAAGAAATTATGTCTGTTTATAGAATTAAAGAGAAAGTATTATCACATAAAACGAAGCAACTTACACAACTTACATTGAAAGAAATGTTTAATTACAAACAAGATTTCCACACAGCCTTTGTAGAAATAGACAAATATGATTGCTCTTGCAAGACACATCTTTTAGAATTCATAAAAATCTATGCTGAAAAGTTGAAAGAAGTAGCCCTAACACTAATAGCTCTTCCTTCTACTAAAGTTAGTGTGGAAAGATTCTTCTCAGCTTTGAAGTTTATCAAATAGGATCTACGGTCCTCTAACAAAGAAGATTTTACCAAAGCTATGTTTTTCAGAAATTACTAATGCCAGTTTTTCCATTCCATTATAAATGCTAATTAATATAAATAATTTGCTATGCCACATCCTTTTTGTAGCATCTATTATTTCTTTAATATTAAAAAAATAAGCTGTAACACATGTATATATATTTACATATATGAGGGAGTTGGATTCTTTAAGTTTAAAATTCCAAAAGTCGGGGTCGGAGTCAGTTATTTTTCCTACAGACTCCACAGCCCTGCCTAATGGTAAGCACTCTTTTTCTGGGGTACTGATATAAAACAAGATTTTGTCTTACTTCATTAATCAGATTAGAATCTTTATACTAAACAATGTCCAAGTACTTTTCAGAATGCTTTCAAATGCTAGTTTTTTCTTAAGTTCTGGTTACCCACTATGTTTTTTCACTAATACCAATAAAAAATATAATGTAGTAATTCTTTTGGAGAAATTTTTGCAGGAAATGTAACAAAAATATAACGATTTCATTAATATTTACAGAATGGGGGAAAAGAAATCAAAATAAATGAATTCCAATAAAGATACATTTTATGAAACATTTTTCTTTATATAATATAAACCATATGAAAATATGGAATTTTCAATTGATGTCTGATAATGTATACAGTCAAAAGTCGTTAATTCGGAAACCCATAATCCGGAATGATCTATAATCCGGACCTCAAAGCTTCAAACTTTCTGCGCATGCGTCTCGTTGACGCATGCGCGTAAGGCCTTTACGGCTGAGAATATGCTTGTGCGCGTGCGCAAAATACGTTTACGAGTGCGCGTTTAATGTATAACGGACGGTATAAGCTAAGCTAAAATTATTTAATTATCTATTTCAGTTAATGTTGCAGATTGCGTTGTTCCTTAATCTTCGAATTGGATCCGGCTTATTATTTTTGCAGACAGACAGAGCAATTTTATAAAAGTAAGCTTTAACTTTCGATTATGTCAAATAGAATTTCTGATATATATTTATTAATATGTAAATGATCTACAAAGCGAAAGTATGTTTCGAAGTTCATTAAACAAAAAGTGGAATTGCTACAAAAAATGGATAAAGGCATATCCTTTGTTTATCTAAACTTTAACGTTTGTTTATCTAAACTTTGTTTATCTTTAATGCCGCGGCGCCGCCGCGCAATGAATTGGAAGTTGATCTGTCAGCACTATCCTTATCTTCAGGGCAGATGTTTTTATTTTTTATTTGGCTTATAATTCCTTATTAAATGTAGTATTTCATCTCGATGTACTCCATCTTTGATATGATTTTAAATCAAATTCCTCGTCATTATAATTCGCTTCCGATAGCGAAGAAAGAGTGACACAGGTTATTGAAAACGAAAAAATTTCGATTGACAAATTAGTCGGTATTCTCGACACAGCAATTATAGGACTTGAACAGCGGCACTTGGTAACTTTTGTAACTGAACAAGAAATTATATCTGTTTATAGGAATTAAAGAGAATGTATTATCACATAAAAAACGAAGCAACTTAAAACAACTTACATTGAAAGAAATGTTTAATAAAGTAAACAAATAAATATTAAGCTTTTTTTTTTTTTTTTTTTTTTTTTTTTTTTGTAAATTTTGATACCCTTTAGATCAAAATTGTTCTTTATTTCATAAATTACGGTTTTCATATTTTTAATTTTATAATTTCTGCATGCCATTTTACGAGATTTAAATTGATGATCTATAATCCGGAATCGCCGAAGTCCCGACGAGTCCGGATTAACGACTTTTGACTGTAGATAGAAAAATTATTGATAATAAATATTCGAGGTAAGTGGTAAATTTAGAGTCTCCCAAGGATATAAATCATGTTGCAGCATCATTAATTAAAGAGAACGTTAAGAATATAATTTTATATATATATAAGAAGCTTAATAATTTTACTGTCATCATTGGAATAATACTAGGGTATATTTTAACATGTTTATAAAAGAAAATTATCCACTTGGTTTCTTTGGGTTAAGAATTGATAAATTGTTACAATAATAATAATATTCGGAACAAGTGAAGTTAAAAATGTGTTATCTATGTTTATATATGTTTATGTAGTAAATTGATGTACAATTGTAGGTATTACATTGCAAATGTCTATAGCAATTGAGATTTGAAAATTAGGGTAGAATGTATAAATGTATATGTAGTTTTTTTATCTTTTTTCTCGTTGATCGCCAACAGTTGCTAGATTTTAGTTCCCAAATTGCTGATTGATTTGTAAATAGTATCAACAATCTTCTTACGACGGGGGTGTGATATCTGGCGACTGTTTGGCGATCAACAGAGCGTGCTTGGCGCATGTAGCTCTTCTCCAAGAAGGGTTAATGTATTTTAAGAGAGTTTTATGTTAGTCTCAGAAGAGGGAGGTAGTAGATTGTACTATGCGGTAGGAGCGACGTACTGCTCTGAGTTACTATTATGCTTTGAAGCATATTTTCCTAATAAATGTTCGTTTCGTCTTGCTAAATGGTTAACCACGTTACTTATTAAACCACGAAGTCATCACAAGTTTATCTAGTCTCTGTGACTGTATTACGATGAAATTATGAATACCATTCTAATTACAGTTTACAAGGATTAATGAAATTATATTTCAAAGGGAAACTTAGTTTCACACATAAAACAAAAATCTCCACATATTAAATTTTAATTAATATAGTGAACTTAAAATTTTAACCAATAAATTCAATGTGTTAAATTTAATTTCCCATCGTAATGAAAACATTCTAAATGGATACAAACCTGTTATAGCACGTTGTTCCTGAGGTGTGAGATGCATAAGTGTTGTTTCTTTCCCATGACCATAGTGATAAGGACAATACTTGACAGTTATGTCATTTGAATTTATCCTACAAATAATACCAGATGTACACAGGACACCTGTTTTGCAAGTACCTTCAGACCTTGATATTCTTTGCCGAGGACCACGCAGTTTAGGTATATAATTTCCAGAACGGTGACATGAATAAAACAGTAAACGGTTTTGACGTTTATTTTTAGTTCTCAGAAAATAAAAACACAAAGTCTTTCTTTCAATCTCACATTTCCATTTCCTAAATCCTGAGGAAGAAAAATAAATGAATTTATAAAAGTTCATAATAAAATCATTGTCACAAGGAAAAAAAAACAAAAATTTTACAACACACATACATAATATGTGTTAGAAACAGCCTTTACGAATCATAATGATACAGTCGACACTCATTATTATGTCTCACAATAAAAAGGCATTACAAAAGCATTTCTATTGCAAATATAGTAAACTGTTATTAGTACACAAAAATTATGTACTTACATATTTTCTCATCAACCATGAAAATTAGTATGCAGAGTCATTTTTTGATGCTGGAGACTTGAAAAATGAACAATGGCCCTGGCCGGGACTCAAACCTGAACCTCTCGAATACACACCAAGTGTGCTAACCATTATATCACGAGGGCATGCTGGAAGGAGGGAGGAAAAAACCTTATATACTTCCCTTTTTAAAGGATGACTCAGATTAGGGGACTCAATTGCCAAATCCTGGTGGTGAAGAATCATCATCCACCACCTTTTAGTTTGAGTGCTACTGTAGAGTCATTCAGTTATTTTGCTGCTAGAGACATGAAAAATGAGCAATGCCCTCGCCGGGACTCGAACATTGATTTCTCGAATACGCGCCGAGTGCGCTAACCGTTTCATCATGAAGGCATGCTGTAAGAGGGAGAAAGTACCCAATAAGCGTTCCTGCAAAACATTTTGGCAGAAACTGGAAGGCAAAGATTTTTCTTTATGCAGTTATTTAATCATATACTGATTCTTAATTAGATATTAAAAAATACAAGTTAGGTATATATAGCACATAAGAAACTTAGATACATATGAGCTTAAGCTGTGAAATTATTTGACACAGATATTTGGGAAATAATTAAGCACAGAAAATTGTACGAATCATGCAAGTGGCAAAAATCTTTTCTAACAACTAAAATAACAATAAATAATCATCTTTTTTGTAAACTTGGCAGCACATTAATTCTCTTAAATACATAAATCTAAAAGGCCGTTCATACTGGGTTTATCTGAGCTGGCAGAGTCAGTTACATGTATCAACTAGCTCCGCTACATTTGCAGTTCAGATTTTTCAACTCACTGCCCTATGGGGAAAATTGGTTTTGGTAATGTGTCAACAATGCCAGATGTCTCCGTTAACCCCAGTCTGAAATGTCCTTAAGTGGCACTGTGAGGTTCAAGGGGCTTTTACCATCACTTTGAAGAACGTCACAGTTTTTCAGTTTTGATTATGTATACCACAGTTACATAAAACCAAGGTGAAGATATGCGAGATCTGATGCCTGTTAGCCATTATTCTGGTACTAAATTTACTCTTACTAAATTTTAATGTTTATCAAAACAGGCTGACAGGAAAATATATATTAAAAAACACAAATATACATATACAATGTAGAAATATATATTAAATATACAAATATATATTAAATTCTAAACAACAGAATTCTATACATAAGACATTGAAGAAATTTTTTTTAAAAAAATTGGGGGGGGGCAGTAACTCTATGCTGCTTCGCACCTTTCCAAATCAGCATGAATTCAATGACTTTGTTAATTTTGTCCAATTCAGAAAGGACTTTTCTCAAAAGTATTTATAGTTGCATTTAAAATCTAGGTGACATCCTGACTGAAGAACAGAAAGAACATTAGATGGCAAATATTTCATACTCATAAACTGTTGATTCTGCATAGGGCGCAAATATGAATAATGATGTCTACTGTTCCGCGTTTGCCATTTATCAGTCTAAACATGCTTATCATCAACATTTCTCACATTATGTCAGTATATTACTGATAAGGTTTCAACACCTTTGAAGTACTAGGATTTTTAGGCTTACCAAATAACTAAAAGTAAAAGGGTACTTTTCCGTTTCGCCGGCGCAAATCCCGCCAAGCAGACTTTCTTGGCGACAACATACAGTATACACATAAAAAATATTTAAAAAATTTTAGTTCTAAGAATTTTTTATTTTGAAGGCATAAACATTTTAATATCGCTTAAAATTTTATAAAAAGCCAATAATAAAGACAATACATTTATAAAAAGACACTAATTTAAGAATTTACTATGCTTTCATGGTTCAACATCCTGATTCGCCGGTTCATATATCACGTGACTCCAAGCGATCTCATCTCACGCAAACTATTCTACAAAAATCTAATGCTCTCAGTAATTATCTACATTAATTTCAAGTTAAATCTTAATTTGGAACACAAGTTTAAATGCAATAAATATTTTAATTCGTACGAATATCTTACTCAGAAATTTTGTAAAACTGCAGTGCTTTACTTCGCTAATGCATTCTCATTAGAATTGATGAATTTAACCCTTGACTTTACCTTTTCTATATTTTCGGCTTCGGGTAAGCGCTGCGATTGCATCCTAATTGACTTAATTACCGAAAATGGCCTTAGACATAAAAATGAACTATCTGATAAAAATTCTATGTAATTATATGCCAGTATTGAAAGAAACAATCAATCTGATAAGAAAAAGCTGCAACTTGTTTTGAAAATGAGGCGTAAAAGGTTACCAGCGAGAATATTCCGCATCGGTTAATATGGCATCGGTTGTACCATTATTGGCGACTTTATCGCTTGCGCCGGCAAAACGGAAAAGTACCAGTAAAAGTTTTCGGTACCTGATAATACAGACAAAAAGAACTGTCATTAATGCATACCTTTCTTTTCTCCACTTTCATCTTTTAAAAACCAAAGACTTAAAAAAGTCAATCTTGTTAGCATTAAATATGTTTCCTGGGACATACTTGCCAATTACAGTCAATAGTCTTTAATCCGGACGTCCATAATCCGGAATGATCTATAATATGGACCTCAAAGCTACAAACTTTCTGCGCATACGTAAATGCATAATGCATCTACCAATGTGCATAATACGTTTACGCATGCGCGTTTAACGTATAAGGGACGGTATAGGCTAAGCTAAAATTATCTAATTATCTATTTCAGTTAACCCTTTGAGGGGCGGTATATAAAATAATTTAAACTGTGGTAAAATTTTGCATGAACTATAACTTATGGTCCCTAAGGACACAAAATTGAGACTTAAAAAAAATCTAGCGCGAAATCCTGAATTTTGAAAGCCAGTATATATTTTATCCCGGCGCCCCTCTGGGACATTTTTTCCAGGTAGCTGCCAACTGTTAATCTTTGTTTTTTAAATTAATTTTGGTACTTTTGATGTTCGTCTGTAGTGATGAGTTATATCACAGGGCACGGTCCTTTCCCCACCTACTTCCATGACAGAGACATGTGCCCCACGGATCTCTGCATATGTGGCGAAAGAGGTGACCCTGATAATTACATTTTTGAGTGTAATCTAACAGACGGCAAGCATCTGATCAAGCCTAACAACAATCTAATACCACTTAAGAAATATGCAATAAAGAACAGACACCTTAGGACCAAATTCAGAAACGTTCTTATACATATCCAAAGACTTACTTATTATACCTTCCGCCTTAGAAAAGACATTTATTCTTACATTTCTGCTTTTGGAAGCATCAGTTGTTGAACTTTTAAGGATAGTCTTTTCTCAATATGATTTGTGTACACTATTAATACAAGAACTCATTTATCTCAGAAAGTCCTCTCAAGTGGTTGATGGTAAAAAAAGAGGGGCGGAAGAACCTCGGACCACACCCCAGGGTGTTCTCCCTCAAAATTGGGGTGGAAAGTTTAACAGTTAGCTAGGTTCAGCAATACCTCAATTACCTGTGGTACTACGGAGGTGCTGGCCTAGCTTCTACCTGTACCTGTAGTGATGAGTGCTTGCATATATAATTATGTAAGTCTAAAGACAAAGTTTTTTTTAAATTTCGGCAGAAATTTAAAATTTTAAAAATAAAATTTATATTTTTATGTACTTATGATGATGCAACCCAGCTGAACATACTTATGTAAAATATGGGTAAAAAGCTTTTCAACTTGATTTAAATTCAATATTATTTATAAAAAATTTAGCAAATATAACACTGCATGTGTAAATCGTATCATGCTGTAACTGAATTAGTATAATATTACAAGCAGATGTAACTCAGCCGAAAATTAAAAAAAATTGAAAAATGAAGCACTACGACCGACTCAGCTGAGAAAGTATGTTGCATTTTTGAAGTTGTATTTTATGCTTTAGATAATATAATATGATTAAGATTATATTAAGATATATTAATATTTAGATAATAGGTGAAAAAAACCATGCTTCATACTATGATACGAAGAATAGCCCGCCCCTCCACGCACACACACTTTAGATCATCGAGGACCGTAAGCGTCCCTTTTTTATTTTTTGTAAATATAGGTTGTAATATATCTTTTTGTTCAGGAAGAAACGCCGTTAACCCTTTGCGGCTCAGTGTTCCACTACATGGAACACCCAAATTGAATCGCTTCTAAATTCAACCGTAAATAGATAACAATGCCTTTATCATATACTTTGAACTTTTCTTTTTAAACAATAGATAGCAGCATATCACAAAGAGACACAGAATTTTCATTTATTATGTGTTATTAAAATCCACTTTTTTTCAAGTAATTTTCTCTATTTTTTAATGATATAAAAAATTTTATTTGGAAGAAAATTTAGGCATAATTTTGCTGGCTGTACTCCAAATTATCTGTTCTATATTTTTTTTTTAATCTTTCAGACAAAAACCATACGCAGAATCATTGAATAAGCCTGGATGTTCCATTAGCGGGAACACTGCGCCATTAGCGATCTCATGCTGTTACGAATCAGAACATCTGTGCTTAGGAGAGAACATCCGTTGTTTACGTTTTCTGTTTCCGTTGCTTTGGGGGGGGGGAATGAATTCAAACAAAGCAGTATTGAGGGGTGAGGTGATTCTGCCTTCAGCCTTCGGGGGTGAAGGACGCTCTTTTTGCTTATGGCATCAGCCCATGATCCGACGCCGGTTTGCGCCGCTATACCGCCGGACAAACCTACTAGCGACTGGAGTATGGCTAATACTGCTGACCAAGATTTCATGGACACCTCGACCGCATCGGAAACCGAACAATTGGATATAAAACCCGAACTCATCGTTATGCAGATAAAGAACCAAATTCACGCACTCGAAGCCAAGATCGAAATGACCAAATCCCTGAAGAAGCAAATGGACGCCGTTCGTGCTGTTTCGGATCCGGACCAGTATACTCCTCTAATGGCAACAAATATACGACAGATGAAATTGGAAATGGAGCACCTAAGGGGTAAGTATGATCATTTTATGTCATTGTGTGCTAGGACCCCCGTAAATAACCCAAATCATTGCTCACCTGAGGGAAACTTA